TCTCTATCCCTGTGCTTTTCTCTGTTTTCCACATTGATCATGTTTTACATTTATTTTTAGATAAAGGCAACTAATGTTTTTCCTTCTCCCATAATAGGGCAGGCACAACTGCAGTAGAAGAAAGACGTGGAAGTGACCCCCCTACTAGATCTCTGACCTTCCTTCGGCAAGTCCTGAAGGTCCAGTGTCGTCACCTGAAAGTGGGTGATATTAGCTCCCAGGTCAGATAATTATGGGTCACCAGCAAGAAGAAAATGTACACATGCTGAAAACGGGAGCCCAGCTCCAGCCCTGTCGCCAGCCGGCCATGTAAGCTTTCAAGCCAGTGCTCCCTTTACTAACTCTCCTCCAGAGTGTGGGCCCTGATGCAAACCCCCTTCCTACCCCACCCTGGCACTCAGCATCTAGAAATCCGGGCCCTGATCCAAACCCCCTTCCTACCCCACCCTGGCACTCAGCATCTAGAAATCCAGAACCTCTGCTGAGAGAGGAGAGGATGCCATAGACAGGAATTCTGCAAGGACAAATCCTTGTCAGGGCAAACTCTCTCCCCGAAACTGCAAAGCTCCAAGGTCAGGAGGTGGGGGCAGTGGAAGGAAGATGCTTGGCTGGTAAGCTGGGTGAGGCGCAGAAAGCTAGCCTGTCTTCAAGTCCTGGCAAACACGTTGGCATTCTTCCCCAGAGAGCAGACAAAGGGCCTCTCCTTCACTGAGAGGGAAGAAACAGAGTGAGAAATCTGCATGGTACCTCTGTCCCCCGTGTGCTCCTTCACCCACTGGGTGGCCGCAGCGATGCTCTCTGTATTGGTCACGTCCAGGATCACTGTCTCCAGCCTGTCTGATGTCTGGCTCTTTAGCAGCTCGGCCCCCTTCTCCGTCAGACACGCAGCCAGCACCCTCAAGCCTCGCAGGTCCAGCTGCCTGGCCAGCAGGCTCCCGAAGCCCGAGTCACAGCCCGTGATGAAGACGTACTTGTCACGGAGGTGGCTCACCACCTGCCTCTCCCGGTACCAGCGCAGAAGGTAGTACGAGCCCACGAGGGCCGCCAGGTACAGCCACATGGCTTTGCAGGGGACAGGCAGGCAGGCAGAGGAGAAACAAGAATGTGGTCAGTGTTCAGACAGCAGAACCTAAAAACACACTGGGTGTGGGTTACACCAACCTTCAGGTTCTCTGGCATGGAGTCCTCAAGTTTTTCCTGTTCACCATCTCTTGTATTGTTGATTCTGGCCCCAACTTGTATGCTCTTTGGTACACTTACACGATTTCTTGTAGATGCCATTGCATTTCTTTACTCCTGAGGATAGTTTCCCCAACTGCCCTCTTCTGGTTTTCCCACTGCTGCCTGTTTCCCTCCACCCACTTATCCCCCCATCACTTTCTGCCTAAATTGGAGCCCCCTAAGTCTGTGATTTCACGGTTCAGAGCTGCCTTCTTACCTTTTTTCTGCTCAAGTTCTGGACCCTGGTCTTCCTGACCTACCGGAGGTTCTCGCAAAGTGGATACACTTTGAATCAAGACACACGTGGGTTCAAAACCCATCTTGTGCTCCAACTACTGTGTGACCTTGGCAGCTGGCTTAGCGTCTGAGGCTGGGTTTCCCCAAATAGCTCAGCACAGAATTCATTCCTGAGGAAAGTAAGTTGTGTCCATTTCTAGAATTAGAAGGAGAAGGTAAAAGAGCAAGAAGTCCCCTGCTGATACAGCAACTGTCAGGGGCAGAAAGGTGTTGTGGAGACAACAGGGGATGTCTGACCTCAGAGGCAAAGAAAATGGAGAGGAAGAGAATGGGCCAGACACACTCACTAGTGAAACTTCTCCCAGTGGCTGGGTGGATGGAACATAAAGACTTAGGCAAAGCGGGACTAACAGTTGTGACCCTCTCACTCCATGAAGAGGCCCTGTCCCCAGCCCTGCATGTCCAATTACATGGCCCTCTGCCCCTCCTGTGCTGAGGCGCTCCCCTGCTGGTTACACATGGAGAATGCAACAGAGATACAGACTCCAAAGGCAGAAAGGACCAACTTGAATAGGGACCGAGGACGGGTCCTTACTTTCACCATCAGGGAGGGCTGTAAACTTCCATAACTGGAAAGGTCTCAGCTCAGTTTGTATCAGGGTGATGATGGGGAGGTGGATGGAGCTGCTCTCTCAGGAGACTAAAGAAAGGACTAGAGACTGGAGCCCAGAACAGCTGTCCTGAGGGCCATCAGTGGGAGGGGAAGGAAACCATTTCATAAATGGAACTGCAAGTGGAACACAGCTGGGAGTGGCACAGTGACAGGAGTCAGTTTCAAGCCTTGGGTGTCTTCCTCACCATCCACATTTATCACAGCTCTGACTGGTAAGCAGGAAAGAGAAGAGGCCCTGGGACAGGGAAGGACAGTTTTCTTCACAGAAATCATAGACTCAAATGCCCTGGACATATGCCAGCAGGTAGAAAGGACAGACGGGGCACAGATTCAGCCTCTGGGCGTAAGCCTTATCGGCAGAGACCTGACTATAGTCCTGAGAGTGTTTGCCCCTCAAGTTGGGAGGCGGCAGCAGCATGGTACAGGCTGGTCCTGCCCAAACCAGCCTGTCCCAGGTTCCTTGGGTGACTGCAAGCACCCTCCCACAAGAGCTTGCCAAGGTGGGGAGGAAAAAGGCAAGGAGGAAGGAAGGAGCCCTGGAAACTCTCAGGGGACCAAGGTGACATTGAAACGATAACAGGACACCAAACCCTGGTATTGGACAAGGTTCTGGTTTCTTTACTTGGAAGGAACTGGAGATTTTTTTTCTTTAGTGACCACATTCCTTCTAAATTTGCAAGGGCAATGAAGCAGAGATCAACCAGCCCTCAATCCTGCTGCTTCACTCCTGTGAACTCTGAAAGTAATATGGCTGCTTGGGAAGGGGCCAGGAACTCCAGAGCCATTGGAGGTGGGAACAATCACAAGGCGTCCCAGAGAAAGTAATAAGAGAGAAAAGGAATCTGGGTGACACTCACCTGGGAGCTACAGGGGCTAGAATGAGATATCCTTCAGGAATGTCCGAGGGTGGATCTCACCACAAACCTCTGCAGGGAGATCCTTCACAAGAAGTGCTAGGCAGAGGCAGCTTGCCCAGGCTCCAGGGCACCGCCCTGAGTACGTGGGCGTTGGAAAACAGACACACGCCCCCTGGCGGCCCCCACGGAGTGTCAGCAAGGACTTCTATCAAGAATCAGGGTGTCCCACACACATTACCCCCTTCTATACCTTCTATGGGTCTTGTAAAAAGGGAGGCTCAGAAAACAAAAAGCAGTACTGAGAAAGGCAGGAGTGAGGGTTACTTGTTCAAGCTTGTTTCCAATGCTACAGGTACACAGCCCTACTACCTGGCGTGTGGATCCAAAAAAGCTAAGACACGCTCCTGCCTGCAGATGTGAAGGTCTAGAGTTTGGAGGGGATGCAAGTTGTGGGTGGGGAGTCATTAAGCTAGTGCTCCTCAAAAAGGCCAACACAGCAAAGGGAAAGAGTGAGGGCAGCATCTTCGTGACACTCTGTGGACTCTCATGGCCTGGGTCCCAGCAGGGACAGGTCCATCTATCCAAGGATGGAGCCTGGATGGAGGAGGGATGGGGCTTTGCTGAGGGTCTAGCATGAGGACTTGAGCTGGTTTGCAATGAACTTCTTTTGCACCACCATTATTATCCCACCTTGTCAAATAGGCACCCTAGAGTCAGAATCTACTTTTTGGTCCCTGGCACCCTTTTTGGTCCCTTGGTGCAGCATTGTCCCCCATGTAGAGCCCAGCGTGCAGGGACAAATGTTTGTAACCTCACAGTTTTCTGACACTCTGGAGAGAACTCCTGAGGCGAGTCTAAGCCTTCTGAACTCATACACTTGAAGCTATAAAGTGAATCAGTGATTCTTCATTTTATTTCACTTTGTTTGATATGTCTGGCTCTGTGTGTGTGTGTGTGTGTGAATAATATGAAAATCTGAAGACTTCAGATTAAACTTGAAGCTCTTGCTTGGCATTTGAGCAGGAGACATGCATTGACATTAAGAAGGCTGACACCAGAGCTCTGAAGAACTCAGAGATCCTTGAGGATCCTCCCAGTCATTTTGTATCTTCAGAAGTCTTGTGTCTCACTCTCAGCCCTCATTACAGGTTTGAGAATGAATGGCACCGCAACATCTCACCTTATTGTCTCTTGTCACAAAGAACAATGATATTGTTCTACAACATAAGGTTCCCCTAAAGGCTCCACGTCCTCGATTTTAAAATCAAGGAGGAAAACTAAAATACCTGGCAAGTTGTACTCATCCCAGGAATCTGTATCACTTTGTACAAAGGCTCTCTCTGTTGAGCCCACCACACTCAGAACATCATCAAAACAGTGGAGACAGAGAGAGCTGGGGACTCAGGAAGCACTGGATAATTAAGAGAATTCCTACCCAACACATAGTAGGTGCTCAATAAAGGTTAGCTGAAAATGAAACCGGGGTCCAGAAAGGACTTTCCTCCACTGGAGGGGTGTGATGTGGGGATCTCGGCTTGGGAAAATGGGAGATGGCAGATGATTGAGGTGGTGACTCTAAAGAAGGGGACTGATAGAGGTTACTGGTGGGGAAAGAGGCTTGATGTCCCCGAGGGAAAGGTCTGGTCCCTGCCCATGTCTTCGTGACCTCTACTTATGTTTTTCCTTGTGTCTCGTCCTGTGACCCCCAGTTACTTGATAAATCTTGGAAAGAAAACGCCCCTCATGCCTGGAAGAAAGTAGGGGCAATGATGATGCAACTTGTCTCTCAAATCCTTCCCAGGCCACTCCGTTCATTCCTTGACCTCCAAGAAGGCACCTGACTCTTCTTCCTTTGGACCCACATCCTTGCCTTCCTGAGACTGGGTAAACTCACTGGGCACATATAAACTTTTAACTTCTATTTTAAGGCAAAGATAATCAAGGTAAATTCATGGTGTCAAGATAAAGCAAAATCTGGTTCTATGCCCTCCAAACTTGAAAAGAAATGAGTTCCACATCATCAGCTCTTTTGAATTCTCTACCTCTAAGTTGAGTCTATGTATTAGAGGCCGTGAGAAACAAAGGATCTTCCCCAGGATGGATGTACCTCCACTGTCCTGAAGTGTCCTGATGGAGAAGGCAGCAGGGTTCTCTTATGGAGGAAGCTGCTGAGATGGGACCCCAACTACCTGGAAGTGAAATGACTTCAGGGCCCCAGGGCTAATAATGCAACCACTGAGAGAATCATTTTGTGGACATCAGATACCTGTAACACAAATGCAAAGAAAAAACAAAAAATTAATTCTCACTAGTGCAATATAGAAAAAAGACTACCCACCCCCTTTTCTTAGAGCATGTACTTTAGAAAACGTGCCATTGTAGATGCTTTCTCTGCTGTTTGAGATGTAAGTCAATACCAGGGTCCCATTGGGAAGCCTCCACCACACTGCAAGCAGGCCCTGCTTTTCCTCAGTGACCAGGCGAATGGTGGGAGTCAAGGGCTGAGGGAGCACCACCTCCCCTCATGTCAGCCCCTAAGGACTTTTTCCCGCAGCCCCCAGGGCCAGGCACTTGGAGGTGATTAAATGAGCCTGAAGAACCTAAAGGACATGGTGACAGTGGGAGAAAGGGACTCTGAAGCCAGTGACACCGTGACTAATTGGGTGAGCCATGGCAAGGGAGCCAGGAGTTGAAGTAATGGCAGAGTCTACAATCATCAAGACCCTTAGACAGAGTCCCAGCCTCATCATTGCCACCTCCAGACAGCTGTGTTCCTTTCTGTCTGCCACCACCTACTCCAGACCCAGAACATGCACTGAAGCGTAAAAACGGGCTGGTGAGGAAGGTCAGACTGGCTGAGCAGGTAGAGCACAATGATGACATGGCAGCTGCAGGAGTCTGGAACTGAGCAAGGAGCTGAATGACCCATGGAAGAGAGGAGTCCTCTCCCAGTTGCTTATAAAAGATGTTGCAGGAGCCCACTGGTTCTCTTGGAGGGGATATCAGGTATTGAGCAAAACACCGAAGGTACTGAGAAAAAAAAAACCAACAGCCAATGACTGAGAGGGCAGAGAGAAAATTGAGACCAAGCTAAGAACTACTTTCTCCACAGCTTTTCATGTAGATTATTATTCAGCTTCTAAAACTTTTGTAAAGGAAATTATATACTCAAAAAGTTTTTTT